ATGACCTAAGAGAGCTTTTCCATCTTTAATTTCTTGATCCATGTGTTGATAAATTTTTCCAGGTGTTGATTTTTTTAATCTTTCAATGGGACTTCTGAAAACTTCTGTGAAAAAAAAAATATCCATGTTGGAAATAGCCTAATCCCTGATAGTGGGGAAAAAGAAAATACTACTCATTTTGCTCCATTAAATAGAAATAGTCTATATTCACTTCCTCATTCATTTGACAAATGTTCTTTCAGTGCATTCTATGTTCCAGGATCTATTCTCTGATTATGAAAGTTCAGCATCCTAACCAACCTCATACCTTGGTTAAATTTTTTTTTTTTTTTGTAAATGAGTAGTCATCTACACACAGCATGCTTGATTTTCTGATCCATGAGTGAAAAACATCAGTATTATACTAAATGGAAGGGTACTGTGTGAGAGGAAGAATGAGATTGAGGATGATTCTTGCCTTCAGTGAGCAACAAAGTGATTCTATCTATGCTGCTATAAGCAACACATTCTTATTTTGCAATTCCTGGAGCTGTGACCTATCAGCATATGGGGGGGTGGGGAGGAGGAGAAGATGGTCAATAGGCCCAGCTTTCACTGTCCTCTAGTGGAAGGTCCCATGGACTCACTCCAGTATGCCTCTGTGCTTGCTCTACGTGCCAAGAATCCCAGGACCTAGAATAAAGCTCATCAGCAGGCAGGGACAAAAGGACACTGTTTTGCCTGGACATGATCAGGGTGGAGTAAAGTACTCTGCAATTTCTGTATGATAGAAATTATGCTGATGTTGGTGATGGAAAATGAACAAAGTAGAAATCACTGCCCTCATGGAACTTGTAATATAGAATAGAAGGTGGATTAAATATACAGAAAATTATGATGCCATAAAGTTCTATACTTATAATTTGAAAAAAAGATGAGTACAGAATTTCTCAAATTATTTGGTCATGGAAAGAAATTTTAAAACATGATGTATTTATGAATATTGACAGGAAGTCAATATATTAAGTATATAGCCAAAAGTTAAAAAACCCAACCAAAACAAAACAAAACAAAAAAACTCACCCAAAACTAAAAAGGAACTTATGAATATATTCTTTGCTGTGGGAAATTTAAATTAGGCACAATAAGTGAATAACAAATTGAAATTAGGCACAATCTAAAAATAGATCAACTATAGCAATATACTCCATTGAAAGTTACATAAAACTTACAAATTATTCATTTTTTGGAATTTTACTTTTAATATTTTTAGACTGAGGTTGATGAGGGTAACTGAAAGCAAAACTTCAGATAAGGAAGACTACTATATATCAACTGATTTCATGAAACTTAAAGATGTTTGGTATCAAGAATCATAAGTCCTGAAATAAACTTATCAACAGATAAGAACACAATTTTGCCTACACATGTTTAGGGTTATAGTCCAGCACTCTGCAACTTCCACATGATAGGACTTGTGCTAGGTATTGGTGACACATTTGACTACTTTTGAAGTTATTTATAAATTTAAAAATATTTTGAAAGAAAACATACTATAAGATTAGTTTAGTATTTTTGTGGGGTACCTATTAGCATCCTCTGTCATGGGACATTCTGGATAATGTGGATAGAAAGAGGCAGGGTGTCATAAATTGAGGAGTCAATATGAGCAAGTGTGTAGTAAGGAGAGATGGTAGGAAATAACCCAGTAGTTAGAGCCAAGGAAACATGAGGTAAAGGGTGGGACTCAAATGTAGGCAGGCTGATAGGAGTCAATGTGTGAAAGAAATTCCACAACTCTGTCTTTAACTCCCAACATTGTCTCTAGTTAAAATTAAATTGATTATATTTTACTGGTTTACATTTTCCTACTTCCTTTAGAAATTGCCACATGTCATTATCAGTGAGCCATCTGATATATGACAACCATTTCATCTTAAAAATTACATGTAAGGGCTGGGGATGTGGCTCAAGCAGTAGCGAGCTCGCCTGGCATGCGTGCTGCCCGGGTTTGAGCCTCAGCACCACATACCAACAAAGATGTTGTGTCCTCTGAGAACTAAAAAATAAATATTAAAAAAAATTACATGTAAGCCCTTACTATGTTCTAGACAATGTGCTAGACCCTTTATAGGTAAGATTATTTTTATGTTATTTTTAATGAACATTTTGCAAAAGTAGTATTATTAAACCAATTTTAGAGTTGAGAAAACTGAGGCTGAATCTGCATGTGAGTCTAACCCAACTAACTCAAGTTCATCTTACTATAGTATTGGGTTTGTAATGGCATTTTTTCAAGAGTGTTCCACAGAGAACACATGAGAAAATTAAAACACGAGAAAAAAATTTTGTGATCACACAAGTATGGGACCACATTATACTACCTCTCCCTTTTGTCTCTGTTTTGAAAACTCATAATGCACTTAAAGTCATTGTGAAATCTTTAATAAAGAAATCCATTTCATTTTCTTTATATGACCATTTCACAACTGACTGGCAGATTTTTTTTTTTTTTTAATTTTCATCAGAAAAACCTTTCACAAATCTGGGAACATTTGGAAACTCTGCCTTAGAATATATTGGAAGGAACTTATTAATCAACTTACTTAGAATCAAGAAATAGAAACCTTATTGTATGATCTTAACTCAATGTTTATGAGAGCAAGAGTCATGGCTCATTGGGTTGTGAAATTAAATAAGTGGGTGCTGAGTAGTATTTGAGGGAAATGAAAGTAAGTATGAAGAAAATATCAGTTGTTGAATTCATTATCAGTAAGTATTGAATCACTAAATTTTTATAGACTCACAATAGAAAATCTGTCTATATGGTCACAGTCAAACTTTCTGAAGTCACTGTTTTTCTGAAAGTCACAAGAATTGTTTGTTGTGCCAGGGGTTAGATGATAACAAATGTCTGAGTGTTATAAAACTATCCCCCAAAGATGACTGTAATATCATGATTAAATGTATGATTTGTTCCTACTTATAATTGGAGAATTTTAGAGCTGAAATATATCACAAGGTGGAAACTGAAATAGAGTTCTGGTGATGTGTCAAGGTCAGACAGCTGTTTGGGGGCCTAGAATTCAGATGTCCTGGTTTGTACTCTAGTATTCTTGTACTTGTCAGTGTGCACTGACAACATTTTCATGTGTGGAATGTTTAGGGTTACTTTTTCTTAATGAGTAGGGAAACTAGGTGCAAAGTTCAGCCGATCATTCAGATCATTCATGGATAGCAAGTCAATGACTGTTTCAGCAAAGGCTGCAGGCTTAAATAGAAGGAAAAGAGTAATTTAAATACCTCAGTGCTGGGGTCTATTCCTAATTCCAACTAATAATTAGTCTAATACACCACATTACTAAGCGGGGCCATTTAGTTATCTGGTTTCTCATTGGTATACGTAAAAGTCCCGGGTGTATGATTTTGAGATGGCTTAGGTAACACATGAGTGAACACCAAATCTTGTGATGTGTAAGTTAAAGACACAACCTTTACTTCCGCTCCGTAGGGATGAACAATGAATCAAGTTATAGGAAACCCTTCAAAGGCATATTGTTTTTTAAAGACGAGGAACTGTGACTTATGGAACCATCTTTAGCAACACAAACATTAGCTTTTGCGTGTTTGGTTTTAGGCAGGTCTCCTCAAGACTGTTTCAAGGTAAAACCTTGAAGATTATAGGTAACTGTGGGAATCAATCACTTCTCTCTCCGGGTCTCCTCTGGGGAGGCCAGTGCCAGCCTGGTCACTGGAAACTGGAATCAATGATTCCTTTTTCTTTCAGTTCCCTGTAAAGCGCTCAGAGGCTTCTACCGATGGGAAGTGGGCCCTGGGCTGGGGTTCTTGAAACTTGCAGGTTGGGGTCCCCTCCCAGGAAGTTCCAGGCCACCGTGAGCAGCAATCATTTGATAACTTAATCTTGGTGTGAGCGAGAGACCCTGAGGCCTGTGTACTCTGGTGATAAACGGAAGCATCCGGTGGAGTCAAGAAAACGACACGGTATCTTTTAAAACTAATATAAACGAAAAAAGCATAAACAGGAGCTTAAAGGAGAGGGCAACCCCGGTCCCCCGCCAACCGTGGGAGGCGACTAGTGTCTGGAGGGAAAAATCACCGCGTCGTTAAAACCTGGAGGTTCCAGGGCTTCTCTCCAGGGAGACTTTTCCCTGGCTGCGAGAACAGAGGAGGTAGGAGGAGGTGAATTTCCTACAGCCCGAGACTGGCCCTTGGACCCTCCCCCTTCCTATAATTAACGCGCGTCCCGCCAGTCGGGACCGGTGGCGCCCGTGGACCCTCCCCTCTCCTCGCCCACCTCGGGGGGAAGGAGAGGCTCGCGGGATGCGGGGTCGATCCCGGGCTACCGAAGCCCGGGGCGGTTTGCAGCCCTGACCCTGCACAGGGGGCGAGGGCCCCGCGTGACGTGGGCGCTCCGGAGGGAGGGGCCGCCCGAGGGTGCTCGGGCCGCCTTATTAGCGCCCCGCGGGTCTCCAGCAGCTAGCAGACAGGCGCTCTGCGAGCAACAGGAGCCGGCGAGCGGCCCACTCCTCCCTCCTCCTGCGCCTGCCTCCTCCTCCCTTCGCTCCTCCCGCCCCCACTCTGCGTGTGCGGCGGAGTCGCCCTCTCCCTGCCTCTTTCTCCCGCTCCCGCTCGCTCCTCTCTCTCGCTAACCCTTCCCCTTGCCTCTGGGCTCCTAGAGACCCAAGCGTTCTCGGCGGTAACCTTAGGGATCAGTGGTGCTTGAAAAGCTTGGAAAAAGCCGCCTCGGGCAGAGATAGTTGGAAGCCCCTCGTCCCTTCCCCCTCTCCCGGGCGCAGTCCGTGCCCGGCTCGCAGCACCTTCTCGCTCCTGTACACTCCGTTTGGGAGGACGGGGTGAGAAGGTGAAGTGGAAAGAACTGCAGAGCGGAGGGGGCCAGTCTCAGAGCTCAAATTTCATTTTCATTGAAGCAAAGCACAGAAGACCTTTCTTTTTTTATTTTGCATTTTTCTTTCTTCTTTCTTTTTTTTTTCAAGAAACTTATTTTGGGGGGATTTGCTCTGGGCAGTTGCTTTGCCCAGTAGTTGAAAAGTGAACTCGACTCGTGATGGTTCTCCTGTCACTTTGGTTGATAGCAGCCGCTCTGGTAGAGGTTAGGACTTCAGCTGATGGACAAGTAAGTGGAAAATAATAACAATAAAAAAACTCAAACCCAACCTTTTCCCGAAAAAGTTCCCTCCCCTCTTTCCCCTCCTCTCTTTCCTCCTCCTCCTCCTTCCACCCTTCCCTGTTATCTTTTGCATTCAGGAACGGTGTTTGGAGGGCTGGGCACGGTGTGAGGGGGTTTTGGGGTGGAGGGGGATGAATTGCACGGGAGGTTGGGACTCCTACTCCGGGAGCCCAGGCTTGTCACACCTAGGGCTTCACCACTCTGCGGCATTCGTAACAGTTACTAGCGACAAAATGCAGCCAGTTCGCATCCTTGCCTGGCCATCTGGGTTTCCCCTTTCTGGAGGGCGGTCTGGGCGCTTGAATGAATTTCTGGACGCTGGGTCCTAGGATCCCCAGTGCCCGGGTTGCTCCTGCCGGAGTCGGCTTCTCGGGGCTTTCTCTCCTGACTCACGGCTTTTTCGGGCAGCCAGAAGCGGGGGTTTCAGGAAGTCCTTGGGCCGGACAGGGAGAGATCCAGTAGACACGTGTCCTGGGAGGACCGCGGCCGGGCTAGAGTTTGACAGTTGGGGAGGGGGGCTGGAGACGTTTCCTGCCCTGCGCTTTCCTGGGCAGCGGCTGGAGGCGCCCGCCGCCTTCTCCCCTCCCCCTCTGCACAACTCCTCCTCTTTTTAAAGCTAAATTGAGTGCAGCTCTGTTTCTCTACGGCCCTGCCCCCACCCTTTGGAGACTCAAGGTGAAGCCCGATGCTCTCAGAAGAGCCCTTGAGGAGGCTCAGCCTGAGGAGCGGTTTGTAGTAAATCATATCAGCACAGGGCCGATGGGACTTGGAGTACAGAAATTGCTCTGTCAGTTTTTGTAGCTTCTTTGGTCTGCCTGGTCAGACCATAGGGTAAAAGAAGGGAATTCTCCAGTTGATTCTTATGAATCAGACCCCCACCCACCCACCCCCCTTTTGGCTTCTTTTTGCCTGTTTAAATTCAGAAACTTTCTTTTCTAATTCCGACCCAGTACAGGAGTTTTCAAGAGACTGTTGAGTGTCAGTATTTATTTTTGCTGGCTTCATAAATGTTAAATTAAAATTAAAGCTGGCAAACAACCCCCTTCCCCAAATTGTTATTGAGTTGGCTCATGCTCTTGTCACAAGAACCTTCTACAAAAGGAGGTGCAGCCTTTAGGCACAAATCCCAGTCTCTAGGTCTCCTGATTAGCTAGCTCCTGAAAAGCATTAGTGGTAGAAATAAAACGCAAGAGGTGATAAGATGAAACCCAGTAACTGTTTCTTTTTCTTACTTTCCCCCCTCCTCTCCAGGCTGGTAATGAAGAAATGGTGCAAATAGGTAAGCTTTGTTCTCAGATGTCACTCTTATCTTAGTTGAAAGTAGGGAATGAAGTAAGCTGAGCAAAATATTGTTTCTGAAATTTTTCCCATTGGTGGTTAAAAAAACAATTTGTAGTCCAGGAACACTTTTGTTCTCTTCCTCTTCCTGGAGGAAGGTCCCACTTTCTTCAGGCTAAATTATAGTGGTGTCAGAATTCTCCTAGCTGTTGGATTTCCCAAGCATCAATTTATTACTCTTTGTACAAGCCACTGGTATGTACTTAGAGGGTGATGGAGAACCTGAAGGAAGATATGGAGATGAATAAAATAAAAAAAAAATTCTGTAGTATTAGGAGCAGCACATCTGATTAGATCAGAAGGCAAATTGTAAAGAATGCTACAAAGAAAGAAAAAATGGAGTTCAGAGGATGGAAATTTTTCCTGCTCTAGGTAAACCCTTTGATGACTTATTCTATCTGCTTGAAAATAAATATCTTTGAATGTGCAAGATACTGGTAGGCATTTTATAAATAATATCTAAAACCTCAGAAATACCAGATGCTGTGGGAATTATTATTGCCATTTAATAGGTGAGGAGACTGAGGTTCAGAGAGTGTAATAGGTCACTCCAAAGTCCATAGTATTATTTTGAAGCTGTTTATAATAATATATTTGTTCTAAGTGCATACTAAAAGCCATCTGGCAAGAAGCCAGGCTACTACATTCAAGGTCTTTTCATACACATTTTATTTGAATTACTTTAAAAGATAATGTTTGTTTGTTTTGGCTGGGTACTAGTGTTTGGAAATTTTGTATTTTTCAAATTATATTGTAAAATAATCTTTTAGAAAAAGTTTTTATTACTGCTAATACAAACACAGTTGCAAGTCATTGACTATTTACTCAATGCCAGGCATAGTGTTAATTGCTTTATGTGCATTATGACATTCATAGTCAAATGAGGGAGGGATTCTGGTGTTCCTATTCCAGAGGTTGCATAGCCACCTGCTGTAGTACACAGTAGAGGTCTGTGTTTGTTAACTGGGGGAGAACCCAAGATCCAGGCTCAGAGGTCACAAATTACATCCTGATAAACCCATTGTAAGTTGAAAATATCGTAAGTCAAAAATGCATTTGAATACCTAACCTGCTTAGGTGTTTAGCTTAGCCATACAGTATGCTGACAAGTATTGGTTGTTTACTCTTGTGACTCTGTGGATTATCTTCAAAACAGCATTGTGAGAGGGTATCAATCATACTGCCTGTCACTAGCTAGGGAAAAGATCAAAATTCAAATCTAGGTATGGTTTCTACAGGATGTGTATCACTTTGTACCATTGTAAATTTTAAAAAAAGCATATATGTAGCATGCTGTAAATCAGCATTTGTCAAAATGATCCTTCCTATTCAGTGCTTAGTGTTGTGAGCTCTTCTTATCCTCTGATACTTCAATGGCAAGAGGGGAAGAGAGTAACTGGGGATTCACTCAAATGAAGAGACATTTGTAATTGATAACATTCAGTCATCTATGTATTATTTTAAAGGCATTTTAAAACTAATCTCCAAAGAAGTAGAGAAAAGAAAGCTTATTTTAAAAATTATTTTAATTGCTTAAATATTTTATTAAATCCTTTATCTTTGCAATATGTACATTAGAAAGATATTTTAAGATTACCCATTCCTGGGGCTGAGACTGGGGCTCAGTGGTAGAGCACTTGCCTCACATGTGTGAGGCACTGGATTTGATCATCAACACTACATAAAAATAAATGTATAAAGTAAAGATATTGTGACTATAACTTAAAAAAAGATTACCTATTCCACCAAAAGAGTATTCACAAAATAAAATGTATTGCTCTGATTAATTTTTTTCAGATACAATTAGGATGCTTTTGTGTAAGAGGCTCTGGATTGGACTTCAGTCCAGTCCTTTTGCTAATATAAATCACTTCAGCCCCCTTTTTTTGCAGGGACAAAAATAGTATAGGTGTGTTGATGTCAGCCATAGGGTGATAAGTCAGTAGTCTGGAAGGAGTACCAGGTACTCTTAGGTTCTGTTGCTGGAGATTTACCTGTTGCCGTATTCCTGTTTGATGAGATTCTTTTTTATTAGTGTCATTTTTATTTACCACACTCAAGTTTAATGAAAATAAAAAGTATAGAAAAAAATAGATCTTGAGTTACAGGTCCTATGATAGCAAAAGGGTAGCTAACCAATCATCATCTCTAGGTTATAGTCATTTGTGTAATTTTCTGGAGGGTATCTATTTAAGAAAATTTTATGTACAGTGCCTGTCCCTATTTGTAAAGGCACTATTAACTAGGAGATTTGGTAAAATTCACTATTGACTGTACAATTTTTTCCCCAATAACTGATCTGTGGTTTTATGTAACTGCCTTGAGGTTCTATTGAATGAATGATATATTAGGAATGATCAATATGGTTTGGAGATTTTATTTATTTACCTTTATTGCCTTACAGATTGACTAGAGAAATTACATAGCTCTGAATAGTTACCGAATAATTTATTTTTCAGGAAGAGATAAAAGTAATTTATCTCTTACAAATGGTTAGAAAGTAAAATTTTTAAAAATATGTCTATTAAAATTTAATACATATGCAGGAGAGTACATATACATGTAGAGCTTGCTGATTCTTCACAAAGTAACCAGCACTGGATTGATAAGCAGAATATTACTAGCACTCCTGTTCTCCTCTCCTGCTGCCTTTCTGGCACTATCCCCTTCTTAAAGGTAACCATGCTCCTGACTTCTAACAGGGTAGATTAATTGTGCCATTATTTTTGCTGTTTTTTTTATAAATAGGATGACACAACATGTAGTCTGTAGTGTCTGGCTTAAAATGTATATGATATGCCTTAGCCCTCTAGACTAGGTAAGAAGGCTTTCATTTAAGTTGGAGAAGGTAGTTATGGGGCGGGAACAGGTTGGCATATATATAGGTAGACTGACCGCTTATGTAGTGTCTCAAGGGCATGCTGCTTTTTTTCTTCTCTCCTAACCAGTGAAAATAATACCCTCCAGCTATGGTGGGGAAGTATGATTCGTCCTAGACGACATGGGTAAATAGGTTTTTGAATCTTGACCTACTTCTGGGCCTCTTGTCAATCAGAGAGGAACCATTTACCTACCACCTACCAACTCACACCCCTACATACATCTATACATAATTACTATCTGAGTATGTTTGAATATTTTTGTGTATGAATGTATTTGTATATAGATGTGTTGTAAGTATGTTTCAAGAATCACTAGTGTATTTCTGTGACATATCAAGGATCTCTTTCATCTCTGACTCAGCATATGGCCTTGGTAGGATGCCGAGGGTAATTATGGGCAACTGGCTGGTTGGCCTATTTGGGTTAGGAGGCTTGTTCTGTGACACATGTGTCTAAGGAAATAATTATTGTTTTACAGAAGTTGGAAAATCTGAATAAAGAATTCTTTGAATCCTTTTGTTTTATAAACCATCACTTTGAGATTTCCTGAGCATCATTTGAGGAAAAATCATCATAAGGCTTTAGTATTAAGCTGTCTACTCTTCCCAACCCCTCCTGGAACTGGGTCTTATTTATTTTTGCCTTTTTTTCTGTTCCCCAGTTGCAGACTAGATTACATTTCATTCTTAAACAAAAAAGCCAAACATTATTCATTTTTGTCTTCTCAGATATCTGGTTTACTGAGAGATAATTTTTCATCATTTTCAGATATTTATCTAGATTTTAAGGTTTAGTGTGAGTCATTAACCTCATTGTTGGGATGAAGCAAGCATTGTTACTAGTGTAGACCTCAGAGCAAAGACTGTGCCTTGATTACTGCTGTACCCCCAGTACCTAAAATAGTGTTTGTACCTCCTGGGCCCTCATATATTTGTTATTCAGTGACTAGATGTAGCAAGCAGGATTTTACCCATGTTCTGAATTTTCTTAAATGCTCCTGTTCTGTTCCTTCCTCCAGGTTTAAATTAGTCTCTAAGAAAATGAAGATTAATACAGTGGCTATAGAATTAGTTATTCAGCGTTATCATGGCCGCTGGTAACTTTACTTTTCACCCCACAAAGCACAGAGAACTCAGTCTGTGAGTTTTTGTATGTTCTTCTGTTTGGTTTAATAAGCATTTGTCAAATTGAATAGAATTCTATGTGTAGTTTTAGGGTGCCCACTCAGTCTTTCCTGTAGTCCACTTAGGATCATTTGCCAGCAATAGTATTCAAAAAAAAAAAAGTGTGGTGGAAAAGGTTTTAGAAGGAATCCTTTTGTAAAATTTAGAGTTTTAGCTACTCAAGTCATTATTCTTCCTTGTAACTAAAGAGCAGGGAGTTGACTTTTCTGATTTAGCTTCTGCCCCCTTGAGCATGATAGTCATTCATGTTAAATGCTTCAAGCTTCTCAGATGAGAATGTTCTCTCTCTCTCTCTCTCTCTCTCTCTCTCTCTCTCTGGCACTCAAACTGTTTATTGAATGTACAGATGGATGCATAATAAATGAGTAAATGAACAGACAAGCAAATGAAAAAACAAAAGAATGTTTTATGACCCAGACATCCCTAATATTGTAATAATATAATGCCAGGAACAGAATTCTCCAAGAAAGAATCCTCTTCTATTCAGTTACACCAAAATTAACAGTTCAAAATATAGATTCCAATTACTTCCTGGAATATAAAAACTTAAAAGTAAACAGCAATTTTTAAATTTACAGACTAAATGTTATTCTGGGCCAACCACTGTGTTACATCCATTAGGAACAGTTTCAGTTTTGATCCTGATAAAAGCATGAGTAAATGAGTGTTATTCTCATTTCCATCCCTAGTAACTAATACTTAGACTAAATATCCTAAAACACAACTCACACAGGTAGGATTGAAGCCCCTTGGCCAAAAGTCTTGCTCTTCACCACCAGACTGTAACACCTTTTGAGAATGTTCTTAAGTGCAGCATGTCATCTGTTACCAGGAACTTTATTGCTGTTTAGCCAAAATGTTTCTTTCTGTACTTT